ACACACATTGACATGCGCACACACACACACACACACACAGACACACACACACACACACACACACACACATATTTTCCACTACCTCCGGCGAATGACAAGCTACAGAACAGAAGTCATTTATTTCCAATGGAGAGCAGTACAGACTCTGAGTGGAGTTCCTACTGTATGTGGTTGCAGAAATTTTGGATACAGTTTGAGCTTAGGTTACACTGAAACATTTAAACTTTTGCGGCTAGACCATAAGCTATGAACTTCTACTGTAAGATCTTCTCACTACACAACAAATCCTTTAAATGTAATCATTTTAATATAAATCAAATCTCCAGTCTCTCTCATTCACGATGAATCCAAACACATGACATTAATTGCATTATATAAGTCGCTTTGGAATATTGGAATATATTTGCAGCAGCACATCACATGATTAAAAAAAGTGTGATTTATGTTCTGGAGAGTATGTGAAACAAGTGCTGTATTGGTGTTCTGATGTTTCCTGGCTGCTTTGATAAACTTCAGTGAGAGCTAGTGTCTAACGTCATAGTTTGACTCAATTATGTGTATTATATGTGCTTAATGTCAGTGTTTATCCGGCTGTGTGTTAATCTGTCCCTCTTAACCAGTCCGTTTAGTGTCTGCCACATTATCTCTGTGAGCGCATGAGATATTTATAACCTGGAAACACGAACGCGCTTCCTACAGCAGAGGAACTGAGCATGTAAGAGTTCATGAGCGCATTATAACGCTTCTGTACTGTCGCTGTGTCTCTCTCAGGTGTTTCTGACGGAGTACGCCGGCCCGCTGCTCATCTATCTCATGTTTTACTTCCGAGTCCCGTTTATTTATGCGCCTAAATATGACTTTACCACCAGCAAACACTGGGTTGTACAGTAAGTGCAGAAACATTTTACCGTTTGTAATCGTGTCGTGACAATAAAGAAACATCTTTGATCTCTTTAATGCTAATCATGGAAAAAGTTAGCGTTCTGTGTAAAGACAGTTTGTTTGGTGTCTCTCTCTGTGACATTTTGCATAGTAAAATGATTGACAGCGTCAGAGGGCTGATGGGTAATTGAGTGTTTTTATTATAGTTTGGCGTGTATGTGTCACTCCTTCCACTACGTGAAGAGACTCCTGGAAACACTGTTCGTCCATCGCTTCTCGCACGGGACTATGCCCCTGCGCAACATCTTCAAGGTGAGAGAAACGCTTCTTGTAATGGATATAAATACATCTGCACAGTAGCTCCGTGCAAATAGAGACAGATTGCTGAGACATAAAAAAAAGTGTCATCTTTCTTTAGATGTTTTATACACTGTCAAATATAAACGCACTGTCAGAGAGGGGATTACTAATGACCAATGAAATTGTGCTTTATGCAAAACATGTGCTTTTATTCTTCAAATTGCTTTGAATTTGTTCCAGACAATAATAGACCGCACATCCTTAACTGGGCCTGTGCTAAGCATAACAATAATAAGAATAGATGGATGTTTCTGAGAAACACTGTAGAAAGTGCTGGAAATAAGTCTTACTGAATCTGGCAATTAATTATGAGCGCAAATGAGTGAAATCACAGCTTGAGCATGTCGAGCCGTGACTTCTAGTATAGAGAGAGAAAAACATGTTTTTGAATATACCAGAAGTCTAGAAACGTCACATTTTACATTCAGCCACCCAGCCGCGTCTCAGATGTGGTTTATGCAGTTTGTTATTAATACAGTGTTTGGGCCTGTCACTTTGGCTCAGTCTTTCTGTGCGGCGTATGTCAGAATAATATGTTTTAGGTATTATTGGACCTTTGCAGTAATATTTCGGTGTGTGTTTTGCAGAACTGCACGTACTACTGGGGATTTGCAGCTTGGATGGCTTATTACATCAACCACCCGCTCTACACGCCACCCAGTGAGTTCACACGCATTCATACACTTTCAGCTTTGCATCACAGGAATAGATTACGTTTGAACATATATTCAAATACAAAAATGTGCTTTTAAATTGCAATGACATTTCACAGTATTCTTTCTTTTACTGTCATTTTGATCAAATAAAGCGAATAGACGTCTTTCAGAGACATTAATTCAATTCAATACACTTTATTGTCCCCAGTGCATGGGGAAATTTGTCTTGGACCCTGAAACCCGCACATATACTGATCAACATTACATTGCATAATAAAAATCCAAATAAACAAAGATTAAAAACCAACATTCCAAGCCACAATAACAACCATAACCAACAAGGAGTTGCATTTATAAATTACATGTTTAAAAGTCGAATTGATGCAGGTACAAAAGATTTCTTAAAGCGGTTGCCTGTGTGCAGATACAAAATGTGTGTTCAGCTCTCGCTCATGTTTGTGTTGCAGCCTACGGAGAACAGCAGATCAGACTGGCCCTAACCGTGTTCCTGGTGAGATCTGTTTTTATACAGGATGCTGAATGATGATAAAACTGACTAACAGGTCTAATGATCTCTTTATGGTCGCAGTTCTGTCAGATCGGAAACTTCTCCATCCACATTGCCCTGAGAAACCTTCGACCACCAGGTACGATCCCACAGCGAAATCTGTAACTTACACTCAATCTGTGATTAGACTGCCAAAAGTCATGCTTTTTTATCTTTCTGCAGGATCTAAGACCAGGAAGATCCCATATCCGACTAAAAACCCCTTTACTTGGATCTTCCTGCTGGTCTCCTGCCCCAACTACACGTATGAGGTCAGATGCCACACTCATGAAAGGACATTCATATTACTCACCTCAAAACCAAAAGAAAAATTGCATTAATGCAATCTACCATTGTTTTTTGTTTTAATGCATTGTGAAAATTCACATTAATCATTATATGTGAATAATTATTGTCATGACAACCCTTTTCCCAAAACTGGTAACACTTAACTAAGGTTAACTAAGGACGGCTATTGTTAATGCATCAACTAGCATTAATTAACAATGAACAATATATTTGTTATAGTATTTATGATCTTTGTTAATGTTAGTTAATAAAAAATACAGCTGTTCATTGTTAGTTCATGTTAGCTCAGGCTCATTAAACAATATTGACATATACAGGTTTTGATTTTAAAAATATATTAGTACATGTTGCAATATATAAGGTTTGTGTATTTGTATACCTTATTTACACACACACATATTTGTAGCAATAGCCAACAATACATTGTTTGGGTCAAAATTATAGATTTTTCTTTTATTCCAAAAATCATTAGGATATTAAGTAAAGATCATGTTCCATGAAGATATATTGTAAATTTCCTACTGTAAATATATCAAAACTTTATTTTTGATTAGAAATATGCATTGCTAAGAACTTTATTTGGACAGCTTTAAAGGTGATTTTCTCAATATTTAGATTTTTTTGCACCCTCAGATTCCAGATTTTCAAATAGTTGTATCTCGGCCAAATATTGTCCGATCCTAACAAACCATACATCAATGGAAAGCTTATGCATACAGCTTTCAGATGATGTATAAATCTAAATTTTGAAAAATTTACACTTAAGACTGGTTTTGTGGTCCATGGTCACATATCTTAAATTACAGATTATTTTTTTTATTACTGCAATACAGAAAAAAAAACTATATTAAACTAATGAGGATTGAACAAGAAATGTGTTTAATTATTCTGAAAATAACATCACAATGCAAAAAAAAAAAAAAATCCCAAAATATGCATTATTTGTGTTAAGGAAATGTTTGATTTAGATTTTTGGGTTGAAATATGGCCTGGATCTTTCACCCATTTTCAGTTTGTTTGGCTCTGTTGTATTGTGGCTGGAGTATGTTTTTTATCTCTGGTCTGTGTGTGTAAACGCAGCTGGGCTCGTGGCTGGGCTTCACTCTGATGACCCAGTGTCTGCCCGTGGCCTTCTTCACGCTGGTGGGCTTCATTCAGATGACCGTGTGGGCCAAAGGAAAGCACCGCAGCTACCTGAAGGAGTTCCGCGACTATCCCACTCTGCGCTCGCCCATCCTGCCCTTCATCCTGTAGGACAGAGTCACGCAGTGTTCCCCTCGTCTTTTTAACCTTTTCCTATTCTCTCGTCCTCCCCTTATCATCTCTTTTATACTGTGTCCATGTCCCACCTCCATTCGTTTCACATGCATCTTTCCTGCATTTGCTCATCTCCTGGAAGGGACTGACTCTGAAGAATAAAGTCAGCTCAGAGCCAGAACCTCCAGGAGAGCCCCCTCTATGGTTTGGATGATATCTATCATCTGGGGAAATCTCATGAAAACGGTCAAGAGCATGTCCGGATCACAATCCAGTCATTCAAAAGAAAGAAATAAGAACTTTTGCACAAAGAAAATGGAGCACATTTTAGGACCGTGAAGATTTTTTGACATGATTATTAAACACCCTCAATTTAATTTCATTTTCATTAGCTGCTGTGATGTGAAAAAATGTTGCTTGTTGTCCAGAATTGATGATTGTAATAAAATCATCGTGTCTGGACAATACAATTTTTTTTCCATTACATTAATGAAAGGAAATTGAAATGTCAATGCCAATCCTTTAATGGTCATCTACTTACAGCAAGTAATGTCCCCCAAACATGGACGTTTCTTCATTAGATTCCCCCATCTTGTCATGTAACATCTTAAAGAGGTAGTTCACCTAAAAATGAAAATCAATTTTTCATCATTACTCACCCTCAAGTTGTTATGAACAAAATATATTTTGAAGAATATTGGATACAGATACAAGAATACAGTTGCCGGTAGCCATTGACTTCCATAGAATCTTTTCCCATAGAAGTCAATGGCTACCAGCAACTGTTTGATTACCAGAATTCTTCTAAGTATCTTTTATGTTCAACAGAAGAAGGAAACTCGAGGAATTTTAGAAAAAATCGCAGGTGAGTAAATTTTCATTTTTGGATGAACTCTCTCTTTAAAAAGCTTTAAAAGAGGGGAACTGGTCCAACATGTACTTGTATTTACAGTATTTCCTCCTCTGTATCTTGTTTGTGCTCAGCTGCTGGGAATCATCCTGTATTTCGAGTGCACTACATATACTGAGATCTCTGATATGCACTGACAAAGTGATGGCTGTGACTTCAGTAAAGATGTTTAGTTCTGCTTGTCACTCAATAACCAAAACACTAACGAGGACCGGAAGTAACCGGTCGAAGACTGTATTTAGCACTGTAGAGACTAGTGTCCTGTGTGCGATTACATGTGAAGCTAAAGGTAACTTGGCACAGACTGCAGATGTCAGAACTGTTTAGTTGACCTAACAATTTATATAAAATAAAAAACACTGTGATTGGCCTGTGCTTTGTCCATTTACATTCATAATACATGCTATGGAATTCAAGTGTTTCATTACATTCTGCTAGATTGGTTGTGCAACATAACACTGTTCAATTCTCGGATAAAAGTCTTTGCTCATATGCGTCCCTGTGTGTTTTCCCAGGTGAATAAAAAAAGTGCAGTAAAATACAGTTTATTTCAGTACGCTTCCATAACGTACTTAAAAGAGATCTATTTTCGCAAACTAATTTTGTACTTAATATATACCATCTTTCATACACTTTTAAATATACTCATCATACATGGAAAATACGCTTAGTATTTAAATTATAAAATTAATATATAATAAATATATAAAAATATTTATGTATTGCCCACGTATTTTTATAAATTAAATAATTTCAAATGTATTGTAATTATGTTAACATTCCCTTTATATGATATACTTAACTAGTATATCTTTAAATAGTACAAGTTCATTATTACCATGTCATTAGTAGCACTTTTTCCACATTGAAAATATAGCACTTTGAGTACTTTATTCTAAAAGTATAATTACTGTGAATTTTGGTACACATCTACACACATATGAAGGAATAATCCAATCATGTGTTATTATTAGTGCATTTATAGTAGCCTAAGCACAGTAACATATAGGGTTTTTACTTGTAATACATTTCTACTGTACTTTTCATGAAAATACAAATAGTAATAGTATATATAAAAATCCACTGAAATTGTATGTAAAGTGATCATAGCGCACTTTAAAGTAATGCACTTATAAAACACTTCTGGTACTTTATCTGACTACACAAAGTCAATTTAAGTGTTAGTGCTAATTAGTGTATTTATATTAAGTGTGCTTAAGCAGCACAGTTGGGAAAATGTACTTATAACTACTACATTACTACTATATTTTAAGTAAACTTAACTATAGATAACTGTATAAAAGTGTTCTAACATTGAACAATTTTTGTAATAATTCAAAGCACTTTTAAGAAATACACTAATAAAAGTCCTCTATTTTTGCGATACTATACTTTTTTCAATGCACTAAAAATGAACTTTATCAGCAGTATTTTGTATAATTTTGCAATTGCACTGAAGTACTACTGAAGCAGAAATACACTTTTAATTAGTGTATTTGTAATACAATTGTATTTAGCACAAAAATAAGAATGTACTACAAATGTACTTGCTTGTATTGTTTAGTGCATTCAGGTACACCTGGGTTAAGAAAATGCTCCATTCGCGTTTTGAGAGCTCACAAGAAAATCTTTATTATTGAGAGAGCTATTTATATACACGGAAACAGGAGAAACTGATGGAGAAATGAAGACGAGCGTGGGATATTTATGCTGCATTTGCCTCGAACCTCTTTTTCCTCAAGTTCAGTCTTCTCTCTCTCTCGTACTCTTTCATCCTCATCACATAACTGCAAAGAAGAAGGGGAAATAAGACAAACATATTTTTAAAAATTCACCAAAACAAATTTTGAGCAAGAAAAAATTACTTTTTGCATAACTAGTGATCAGCACAGTATGAACCGTGATGATTTGTTTTACATAACGGTTGTGGACCTACTTACAATTACACTTTCAAAACAGAGGACTTCAGTAATAAAATAATTCAATTACAATTGATCATGTTTTAATAATTAAAATATTTTAACTTTTAAGACTTGTATTATTAAAAATTATAAATTAAGCTTTGTGATGAAAGAAAGAATAAATAATCAGGGAATTGTTAAAACCTTCTAAAACTTTGCTCATCTAAATAATGAATCCAGCAGAAATTACATTCATTCAAGCCAAATTTAATGGAATTACTATTGGAAGGAAATATAGATGAAATCCATTAAAAACATCTTAATGGAGAAACCAGTGACATGGTCTACATCTGCAGTAGTGCACCTAAAAGAGTGGATTTGTCTGAATGAGTGCTGACTCGAGCAGTGTGTCTTACTCCTGATGTTCACAGTAGTCCCAGTCGTGTCTCTCGTGTTTGCAGGCTAGGAAGTTGGGGAAATTGTATCTCTTGCACTTGAGGAGTTTGAGCAGGTAGTGTGCGCAGTAATCGCGCTGCTCCACCGGCAGCATGGCCAGATTCATCTGCTCCTGCGTCGCCACCATTTCTAATAACATAACGCAATGAACGCGAGTCATCTTTGTGGTATTATTATATTACAGCGTGAACAAGATATGACAGGTCGACCTTAACCAGGTTCGAGCATTTGGCATCAAAGGGTAAAAAAGTTTTCAAACCTTTATTATATATATATATATATATATATATATCAGTTTCTACAAAACTAGCTTTTTCAGAAGGATTTCACTAGTTAATTAAATTATTTGAATTGCATATACAAATTACATCAATTTGTTACAGTGTTAAACTAATGCATTTATGTAATGTCTATTTGTTAGTAGGGTTGCAAAGGGGCGGACATTTTCCAGAAACTTTCCATGGGAACTTCGTCTGGGGAATTTTGGAAATATTCCAAGTTTGAAATTTACCAGGAATTTAAGGAAAATTAAGGGGATTTTTTGGGAATCAATTGGAAATTTGGGGAAATGTATAGAACTATCATATACAAACATAAATATAAACATTTTGTTTGATCATAGGCTCACATGCATGCAAACTTTTTTTTAAAATTATTTTTAAAAATGAAATTTTTGGATTTGGGGGGGGGGGGTCTGTGATACTTTCTTCAGGATTTAGTGTTACTGTTTTGTTCTGTATTTTTGATCAAATAAATGAAGGCTTGATGAGCAAAAGATATGCAGTGTTTTCAAACTTTTGACCAGTACTGTACTCCTGTATGATAACAGAAAACTGGCAGAAAGAGCATCGCAGCTTGAGCTAGTTTATACCTCATAAATTGTCAATGAAATAGTGCTAACTCGCTTAGATTTTTCATATCTTGATTTTACTGGTTAGCTAGCTACTGTATAAACACTTCTTGGTATTTACTAGTAAAACTTGAATCCCATAGATCAAATATATTTAGAATATCAAAACTTAGATGTAGTCTTTGGGCTCAAATGCAGCAAGTGTGGCTTCAGAGAAAATGGAGGGGAATCTCCCAGACTTCTGTTTTATTATCTCAAATAAATGTTTGTTCTAGTCTATGGTTTGTGTATTTGTATCAGTGTATTTGTTTATACAATGGTATAGCCAAATTTTCTTGCACAGTATATTACACAGAGCTCAAGGAAGTTTAAATTATTTTTACATGATTTACATGAATACTTACCAAGATGGACATTTTTATATTTTGTGTGCAGGATTTAAGAAATTATCTGTTCATGTTATGTAGGAAAGGACGGTGCATGTAGGGGGTGTGGCCTCAATAGCCCTGTAGTCGTGTGTTGTGTGCATGTGATTGAGCAATGTGTAGGGTAGAAATTAAACTGAAATTGCATTAAATCAGGTTGCTTTAACCAAGATTATGCTGCAAGATTTTTTCTCAACTGCATTCAAGTCCCCAGTTCCTGCAATTTTGCAAATTTCCAGTTTATTCCCATTAATTCCCATATATTCCCATTAATTCCCATGGAAAGTTTCCAGTCTTGAAAATTCCCGGAATTTTGCAACCCTATTTGTTAGTCATGCATAAATGAAACCGGTAAAATTTCTGTAATAGTACTAATAAACTGAATGTGTTTTAAATACACACCAACAATGACTATATATTTATATATATTTTTTTTTTCAATAAATCTGATGTTTCAATCTTATATTTTACCTGAATATTGTCTGTTCAACAGCTAACCATATTTTAACCATGTTCATATTGGCTCTATACTTGTACTCTGCACAATGACAATAAAGTTGAATCTAACCTAATCTAATCTTTCAACTGAATAAATGTAATTGATTTCACACTAAACAGATTTATGGTGATTCTAAGCAACTGGAATAGCCTAAATGTGTTTTGAACAAACAATTATTTAAATAAAATCAAACAGAAACAAAAAAGTACATTTGAAGTTTTGTTTATTTTTTAATTTAGAAATATCACCCTTTTCTTGCCTGTTGCATATATTTATGCCTGACAAATATGCATCAGCTTACTAGTTTGTTAAAACTGTGCAATGCAAATGGAAGGAAATTTGATGTTTTTAAGGAAAAGATTTATGCAATTTACAGTTTTTCTCAATTGCTTTGGCTCAATTCTCGAATTAAACTTTTTTTCCCGAAACAATAAGTTCAGATCTCTGAACAATTAGCTTCTTGTTCACATCAGATTGGAATTTCTTATTGATTTGAGCAAATTGCAAATGCTTTGGCACATGTGTGCAAACAGTAAGTACAATTGTCTGCAGTTTGCACAACAACTAATTGCTTATGGCTTGTTGATCAAAACTGATGAGCCGATTCTCACTTAAACTGTCAAACTCTTCACAACTTCTCAATAATTTTTCATCGTGTAAGCCATCACATTCAAAACGATCCATTCAATTATGAAAAATTGGTATACACGCATGTATATTCCACAAAGCAATTGAGAAAAACTGTAAATACATCTTAAATTTGGCACCTTTTTTGCACAAACTGCTTAGATTAGCCTTAAAAAGTTCTATTCATTCTATTTGTTTTCTTCAAGACTGGTCAGAACTTTTTTTTTAAATCAGTTATAAAAAGGTAGATTGGCCTCATTTAAATCAGCAAAGTCAGACTGATTACCTTATTGCCGGTTAGTCAAACTAGTTATAAATGTTTCTGCAACTGGCCCCTGCTGATTTAGTCGACTCTACATGACTGAAGTATAACGATACCAGCCCTACAAGAACACAGGTAATGACTTTCATGTAAATAGACCCTAAACAGACACATTTAGGGGCATGTTTTTGTTGAAGCCTCTTGTTTGGACCTGAAGACTCGCAGTTCGGGTTTAGAGACTAAATCACGTCTGAAAGTGCCGGATAAAGTTTGAAATGAGCCGCTGAGTGTCACCTCTCTCTTTGCGCTCAGGGAAGCCCAGATGAGGGTCGTATGCAGACGGCTTCGTCGGGTCTGGCGTCGCGTCTCTTTCCGTGATGTAACTCCGCACGAGGTGTGACCCCATTATCACCACTGACAGCAAAAACTGTTTAACTTCCAACCACTGACAATAATAATTTGGCTTACAATGGAGAAATCAAATCAGTTCTACACACTGCCATTCGGTCACCTCCAGAAACCATCTGTTTCCGGTCTGCGCCGGAAGTAAACATGCGCATCGAGTAACACACTCCTGGACGTCCTCGACACTGATTACTCCGTTCCGCCTCGAGTCTCCCTATAAACTAAAGGCTGTCAAAATTTTTATTCAAAATCAATAAAATCAATCGCTGCTATTGCGGGTTCATAACACACGTTACAAGATGAACTACATGAATTAATTAATTAATTAGCTTTAGATTTTAATTTATATATCAACATAACATATATTTTCCGCTTCTCTCGTTAATAAAATGCAATAAAATCTATTTAGTTAGATTAATGTTTGATTTCCTACTCAGAGAAACTACTTGGCTTTAATTAAATAAAATTAAAGAAATTAAAATTTTATAAACTACAAAAAAATAAAATAAAGACTCGTTATAACAAACAGAATTGTATATAAATAAAATTGGCATCTACTTAATTGTTTTTCTTCCGCTGAAATCCGCGCGCGCGTCTCGCTTCTTTCGGAGAACGGTGACAGCCCGCCACATAAATTCAAAAACTAACGGTCAGTCACCTCGCGCTGATCCATTTCATTTATTTTATGGATTAATGTGTGTATTTATTATTCTTAAAAGATTAATAACATTGTCAGGCCTAGTTAAACAGAATTGGGTATGGAAGTGAATGTTTTGTTTATTGACGGACTAAAACAACTGGATTCATGATGTAGACCTATCCGCAAATTTGTTTTGAGGTAAGTTAGGCAGCTAATGTTTACTTAAAATAGTAAGGTTAATTGAACGTTTAGGCTAAGTTTGAAAATTAACTTGTTTGAGTAAGTGTCTTCTACTAGAGAGAGGGAAATCGGGCACACATTTCCCATCAACACATGTATTTAACATCATCTTATGAGAGTAATGGACGTTCAGTTTAATTTTTCTGTCAGTTTCTGGCAGGACTGTAAGAGATTTAAAAACTCTTTAACTGTCAGAATGAGAAATTACACAGATATTGGTTATTCTATACTAATAATTATCATAATGTGCAGATTTCAGTTGAAAGTGAATTTCATCTCTTCTCTCACTGTCACACACACCAGGTGTTGGGCTGGTAGAAGACAACTGACTTTGATTACTGATAGTGATCAATCATCATCTCCATCATCTCTGAAATGACCCCCAGAGTCTTGGCCTGACCCCTGACCTCCACCTGACTGAGGTGCTGTAGGAAACCTGCCGATGAGTCAAAGGATGAAAGAAAGAGAGGCATTTTACTTTACAAAATGAGGTATGAAGTGGTATGAGGTACTAGTGATTTGTGTGTTTATGTGTTTGAGTACCTAAAGTTCCCAAATCCACGGCTTTGCTGAAGAGTCTGAGCAAACATCTCATACTTCCTTCCGTATGTCATTATCACTGACAGACCGACGAGCAAATCTCATGGCTTCCTCAAAATGATCCTTCCTGATCTCAGGCACTGGGTCATAATCATCATCCTGGAAACAGGTATGAAGGTATGATACACAGGTTTGAAGTCACCAGGATACATGTTCCTTTTTTAGATAACACACAACACAATATACAGTATAAAACATTTTAAAACCTTATAAAACATTGTGTTTTATAACACAATATAAAAAGATATCCCCAATATTATTATATATAAGTAGTATAGAGATGGGACGTTTGGTGCTGAGGCTCCGAAGCCTGTTTTACTCTATTGAAGCAGACTGGTTCGAAAGACTGTTGAGGCTTGTATCAAATCTCTGTGATCACGTGACCGACGACGATTGAGGCTTCATACGTCACAATGAAACATCTGAAGCGAGGTGACTGATTTGAATCTTTGGCGCCGCTTCATTCATTATAAGGAGACGCGAAATGCTTGGTGTTTCCTCCCTGTTTCATAGCAACATAGCAACACTTTCATGTGTGGACAATGATTTTCAGAATGAAGACACAGCTGCTATTGCTGAGTATTACTTCTGTGTTGAAACTGGGATCAACAAGATGTGTGAATAATTTGAAAGTGGCTGCTATAATTGACGCTTACCACTAGATGTCACTGGTAGGGTCTGTCTTTGAAGCTTTGAATCTTTTTTGGTACAATCAGGAAAAAGCCTCAAAAGCTTCACAAGGCTTCATCTGCCCATCTCTATAGTCTAATGTTAAGACACATCAATATGAAGCTGAGGGTTCTGACCTATCATAAATATGAGGAAAAGATACATATGGTCTGCTCAACATGAGATAAAGACACAAGGATTGTTGTACAACATCTGACCTTTGATTAGTGAGACTGAAAATAATAAATAAATAAAACATTTAATAAAATATTTCAAAACAGCAATAAAATCTTACAATAATATAATAAATGTTGCTTCTTCAGCTCAAATCACAAACCAAAACTGTATTTTTTCAGACTGGTCCAGTAAATGCACAAGCACATTGTAGGGTAAACAAGCAGAAAAATACTGAAAGTAGATGTGGAAAGGAGCATGTGTTCTTCTTTATGCATGCGTGTTCAGGAACCAGGATTTTACCATTCTCTTTAAATTTGTCTCTAACCCACCATGGTGCAGTGGCTTTTTCAATCACATACGCACTAACCATAGCAGTCTCTTTCCTGACTTGGCGCTGTCTCTCAGCACAGATCTCTGCCTCTATAGCTTCTCTTATAGCAAGCTTACAGGCCCTCTGACAGATCTCAGCCAGGTCTGCTCCTGAGAATCCCTCCGTTATCCGGGACAGATATGCCAGGTCTACATCCTGAAAACACACAAAGAAATGCAGTTAGTGGTGCTTTCATGTGGAGATGCATGTATACATAGTTTGTGTGTAAATTACCTTAGCGACAGGGGACTTGCGGAGGTTGGCGCGCAGGATGGCAGTGCGGGAGGGCATGTCAGGTAGAGGGATATATCAATGGATCCAAACGACCAGGCCTCAGGATTGCAGGATCAATGATATCAGGCCTAAGAGTGACAGACCTGTTCTACTCTCTGAACTGTCATATACTGTAATATAACTGAATGCCCAATAAAGCTGTTCCCATTTACATGTTTTCTGTTGTTATACATAAAACAAGTATAAATAGAGACTAAACATGACCCATAAATACTAAAGTCGTGCTCATGTGTGAGACACGGGAGCTGATGGTAGGGGCGGTGGATATTTGTGGCGGTCTATGTGGATATTGTGGTGGGCTGCTACAAATAAATCAATGTATGGGAAACACTGGAAATTATTATACACACAAATACACTCATACTCAGCATATTTTTACTTTAACTTTAGTTTCTCTCACAAACACATACCTTTAATAGACACAAAGTTAGCCTGGCACTCATTGGCAATGGCTTTAGCTAGTAGGGTTTTGCCGCATCCAGGTGGACCATAGAACAGAACCCCTCCAGATGGAGTCATTCCAAATTTTAGAAATTTATCAGGATACTCCATGGGATACTTAACGGAGAGAGAGAAAAAGTGAGTTAGAGAGAGTGAATGATCATTTCATACCTGTTTGGATGTAGGGTTGCAAAGGGGTGGAAAATGTCCGGTAAATTTCCGGAAACTTTCCAAAAATCCCTGGAATATTCCAAAAAATCCTGGAAAGTTTCTAAAATTTCTAGAATGTTTCCTAAATTTACTGGAAATGTTCCACCTTTTTGCAACCCTATTTGTATGTGTGTGGTTTTACCTGGACAAGCTCCTGTAATTCTCGCTTCACCTCATTGAGTCCTCCAATGTCCTCCCAGTTTACCTGTGGAACCTCCACCATCGTCTCCCTCAGAGCAGATGGGTTACTCTGACTTAGAGCCCACTGGAAGAGACGGAAACCAATAGATATAATTCCCACAGGAAATAATAATCACAAAAGAGATCTCTTTAATATTTCAATGGTTTCTCCTAGACAGGAATAAGATTGAAATAGGAAGCAAATGAACAGTACTGTTTCTCAGATTTTTATACAGAAAAAAGCCCCAGAAATCTTGAGGGACTTTTCTCCTCGAGAGTTTACATGGGCAATGTTTACGTGTGCAGTTGTAATGAAGCTAGGGCAGGTTTTTGCATAGCTGCACTACAGCTTTCATCTGTCAGTCCAAGTATTCGTAATACATCACAATGCATAATCTAATATTAGAAGGATTTGTTGAAGCCAGTAGTCTCATAGGCGGCACTCCAACAGCATTAAATAAGATAAAAAAAGATGGTTTATTGTTTGAATTTGGAAGAAAAAAAGTTGATACTTAGATCTCTCTGGATTTCTCTGGATCTATGAAAGACGACATCTGAGTAATAGATTTGCCCTCTGGGATGGAAGAGACTTTAAAATCGAAGCATAATCTGTGTGTGTGCAATGTTGAAGCTGACCTTGAAGTAGAGGTCTTCTCAGGTCCTAAAATCTGTACCCGACCCGAATCACTTTTTACCCAAACCCAACGTGCATACATTATTTTTTTTTAATAGAAAAACCCAACCTGAGACAGACCCCATAAAATTAGACCGGAGTCTACCACGACCCGACGGCATTTATTTTCTAAACCCAACTGGACCCTAACGTAAACGGCATTGACGTGTGCACAGCCTGCAGCCCCGCAGGAAAAATCCCGGTGTCCTGCAGACTAATTTGGCCGCTGCACCATTACTTTCATTTATTTATTTACTTATTTATTATTACTTTATATTATTGGCCACCTGATGAATACAAGTTATTTCTGAGTTCAGCTTTCAATCGTGACCAGTGGATTGCAAAAATAAATGTGATAGGTCGATAATAATAGCCTAATAATTCATGGATTCGCTTGTGTTGTCTGCGTCACTATTTACCTAATCTCCAGCGAAGGCCTTCTGCACACAAAAAAAGCCCTGCATGAACACGCAGCGTAATGATGCAATTGGCTTTTCCTGATGTATCATATTTATAAGATGGATTTCTTTGTGCAAGTTTAGAAACGTTTGTTCCTTTTCTACATGCGTTTCTCAAAAATGCACTTAACATGAACATGTATTAGGGAAACTTTAAAAGAATTTGGTTCTTATTGGGTGCATTTGGAAAAAGCACATTTATTTTAAATTACCC